TTTTAAAGTATTTTTCTGTTATATTTTTTATAGGTCTTGCTGAAACATTAATCTCATTATTAAATAAAAAATAACTCACTTTTATCTCTTAATTTCAATTATCTCTATTCTATATAGCATGCTACCATGGCAAAACCTTAGATTTTTGTTTTATTTTAATCTCTTTTTTTTATAATATTTTATTAAAATAACCTAATTTTAAAGTATTTTTCTGTTATATTTTTTATAGGTCTTGCTGAAACATTAATCTCATTATTAAATAAAAAATAACTCACTTTTATCTCTTAATTTATTTTATTTATATATTATATAATTTAAATTTATAACGTTTTATTTTCACTAAGAAAAAATTATTACTGAACTATTTAATTTATTGAGATTATAGAGATTATTTTGATCAACAAATTTGTTTGCCAATATTTGCAAGGCTCTTTAATTCGATAAGCTCTCCTATACAATAGAGATCTTGTTAGTAGTATTTTCATGTATTAAAGAAGCAATATGTTAATATATGTGGCTTTTACGTGTAATTATAAATATTAATTGTTCTCCACATCGTGGATAGAGTTTTCACTCTGTGTCTATGTGGGAACACCGTGGGGAGATTTGAGTTTTAACTCTCAATTCTCCCTTCTCCCACTCTTTTTATAGTTGTAAATAATTATTTTTTTAAATATAAATATTAGTTTATTATACAATTCATTGATTATTTAATAGATTATATCAGTGCCATGGAGTTTTCACTCTCGGCATAAGTGGGAACACGATAGTAAAATTTGAGTTTTAACTCTCAATCTTTTCTTCTCTTACTTTCTTTGTAGCTGTAAATAATTTTTTTATTTAGAAAAATATAAACATTAACTTATTATACAATTTATTGATTATTTAACAGATTATATAATCTACGGACGGGTAGATAAGTTGATAAGCAACTCTTCCAACTTAATAAAAAATTTTAGTTTCAAACCTTAAAAATATAACTTTATTAAAACTCGTGATGAAAAGTTTTGTCGTCCATTGAATTTTGCTCGGCTCGAATCCGAATTTAATTGGTGACTTAATGAGTTTCCTGATATTGGATGATTTATACAAAAAAAAAAAAAAAAAAAAAAAAACAGATCATATAAGTGCGACGCATATGGTTACTTATGGCTGCAATAACATTAATAGATGAAAATACCACTAACATGATTTGTCTCACACTTATATACTATTTTTTGTTTTTATATTAGTTACACAATGAAAAATAATTTTATTTTATTTTATTTATATGTTATATAATTTAAATTTAAAATTTTTTATTTTTAACAAAAAAATTACCATTAAATTATTTATATTATTAATCACACTTATATATTATTAAATAATCAAAAAATATATAATAAATTAAGTTTTATAATTACAAGAGCGAGCCAAAATTTTGTGTGAAAGAATTTCTCCTTGAATTTGTGAGAACATTTAGCGGCCGTTACGTGCACGACTGTATCTACTCTCAGTCGACTAATTGGCGTTTTCGCAAAATGCCATCGCAAATCGGGCAACTAATTTTCGAAACCGGTAACCATCATCCTCACCACCGCCACTGCCACCACCAGCCGTCGGAATCCGTACGAGACCGTGATGGAGTCGCCTGCGATCGCGACAGAGACTTATTGGTTCGTGCGTGTCTCGATCGATCACGAATGCCGAAGGCCGGCGTCATTCGCGCGTGGAAGGTTCCTCGTCAGGCGCCGAAGCGCGGCCCAGTTCCTATCGTTTTTGTCGGCAATTGACATGATGAACGTCGATCCAAGGATGGATACAGTAACCCGATCGTACCACTTTAGATGGGAGAGAGGACAGGTGGGTCCTCTTTCAATAATTGACAGTCTCAATTTCTTGAAATTCCGGCATGATTCCCTTCACTTTATCGATCTCTGCATTTGATTTCTCCATAATTTCACTTAAATGTGATTCTCGTTGTCAAGGATTAGGTGGAGTACTTGATATTTATCAGCTTTTTTGTTTTTAATAATTAAATTGATTAAACATCAATTAAAATAATGTGTTTAACCATAATATATGAAGTG